TGATGCAAGGGAAGGGGCAGGTTCTCCAGCCCCATCTGACTGAGTCAACATGGCCTGTGCCCCAGGGTGTGCGTCCCACTGCCCAATTGCAGCGCATGGGTCCTGGGCTGCGGGGGGGAGGAGGGGATGGGCTGACACCGCGTGGGGGGGAGGAGGAGGGAGCTGGCCAAGGCAGACTGTGGCCTGTCCTGCTTTGGAGCACTGGCTGGTCACACCAGGTGCAGAAATGGTCAAGTGGCGAGGTGCATTCTGTGCCAGCGGCAGCTGCTGGGACAGGCTGCCAGGCTGGGCGACTCCCAGGGAGATGGGTGGCCCGGTTCCTAGTGGTGAAGGGCATCAGCAGCCCTGGCTGGCCATTCCTGACTCTGACACAGCATGTCTCCACGACCTGGGGCAAGTCACCTCATCCACCCTGCGCCCCAGGTGCTGTGTGTCCCCACAGGGTGGGGGGAAGGCGAAGCCCATTGCTACTGCAGCTCAGTACTGGGGGCCAGCAAGTGCCTTGCACAGGGGAGGAATCGTGGTGATTTTCCCTGGGGCTTAGGCCTAGCTGGGGGGGTTTCCTGGGCAGGTGGGGTGAGGTGTGTGGCATGCAGGCAGCATGAGAGCTGAGCCCTGGGGCTATGCTCATCACACACCTTGGGCTGCTGCCAGCCTGGGGCCCTGGTGGTGCTGCCGAGGCAGGGGCAGAGGCAGGGCCTCACTTGCGTCAGGGCAGGTGTGACGTTTGCATGTCACTTCCGTGTGCTCACGGCACCCAGCTGGCAGTGCTGGTGCAGGCTCTGTCTCAGGGCTGTAGAGCACTCATGGGCTGCAGGCAAGGGCCCGACAGAGCTGGGTACAAAGGAATCAGAGACATGACTGGGATGCCCATTCCCTGCCCCGCCTGCTCCACTGGCCCTTTCTGCTTTGTGCTGCCCTGGGAGGACACCTCCCCTCTCCCCCGGCATCCAGTCATGTCTCTGATTCCTTTGTACCCAGCTCTGTCCGGCCCCAGGGGCTGGCTCTTCCTGCTGGCGCTGGGAGTGAGACAGCCTCAGCCCCTGCAGTGTCCTGGGAAGCTCGTTTCCTGCTAGGAGGAAGCCCAGGCTGCAGGGTCCTTGGGGAGGCCCACGCAGCCAGCAGGAGGCCACTGACGGTGGCAGGAGCGACAGAGCAAACACTGAGCCTGCTGCAGCAAGTGCTGCCAGGGCCCCGTTGCAGGGATCAGCTGGGAATGTCCCAAAAGAAATTCGTGCAGGGACAGCGCCAGCCACCTCCTTGAGGCAGCTGCCTCCCGCCCCATCACCTGAGTGGCTCAAACCCCCCCCTCGGTGAGCAGCGCTGCCCAGCCCCAAGGGTGCACACATCACAGCAGGGCGGGACAGTGCTCCCTGCCCCCAGGAGCCCAGCCCCATGCCCTGCTCCAGGGGCTGAGGCCTCCTCAGAGGAAGGGGCAGTTCCCGGCCAAGGCGGGAGCCCCCCTTCCCAGGGTCCCATGGGGCTGGGTAGCTGGGGGGAGGCCCACAGACAGGAAGTAGGTAGGCGGTGGCTGCAGGGCCTGCCCCACGGCAAGAGGTCAAGGAGAGGTCACACGAGGCCAAGGACCCAGCCCTAGGGCCCTAGATCGGAAATGGGGTCTCCTGAGTCAAAGGGCAGGGGCTGGGGTCATGTGAGGTCAGAGTCCCGCCCCCTCCCATGGGGCTGGGTAGCTGGGGGGAGGCCCACAGACAGGAAGTAGGTAGGCGGTGGCTGCAGGGCCTGCCCCACGGCAAGAGGTCAAGGAGAGGTCACACGAGGCCAAGGACCCAGCCCTAGGGCCCTAGATCGGAAATGGGGTCTCCTGAGTCAAAGGGCAGGGGCTGGGGTCATGTGAGGTCAGAGTCCCGCCCCCC